GCCAGGTTTCCTGGCGATTGTTTCACGTAGTGAGAACAGAGAAGCGAGAAGGTAACTTGTGGCAAGTAAAAACGTGGCACATAGGCCGACAACGCTGACGATGGTCGTCGGACTCGTGATTATTCAACCGCAATATATTATTGAAAAATTAATCTTTATTGTAGGATTATTGAACATTGTAATTGGCAGTTATGTATATATCTAGTTATATATAGGTAAATAAACTTAAACAGCAAAATAGCAATAAAATTGTGCCACCATAGATAGACAACACATATGTGTTGCACCATGTGATTGCACCATACGGGCGCAATCGACCCGTGGGCTTTACTTGTGAGTCCCCCGTGTAAATCCTTTTCTCCCGTGTTGGCAGCGATAGACGAAAGATGCCAGTAAGTTTTCAGGCGTTTAACCATTATACTATATAAAATACGTTAAGCTAAAGTTGGTAGTCGAACGGTTGTCAAGTATGAACGTGTTTTCTGTCTTATTATTGTAATTAGTACATTTCGTCTAACCTCCTGTTATGCTGTGGCGATGTTTCCAATATTTTTCATGCTTGCTTCTCGGGCATGGGGCGCCGCCATTTTAGCTCCATGATCACGTAAACATTTATTAGATTCGCCGCTATCTTTTAAATTATGCTACTTTGGTCCGTATTTACTCATACAGTAAAGTAATGCTTTAACTGCGCATATCTAATAGCGTAATTTTCAATAGCTTTGTTTGTGAAGGAAGTAACGTAACGTTTTGAAACTTCTCCATACATAGTTAATGATAGTCACAGGCACTTCTCTGTCGTAGTTGTACTTCTACTTGTACTTCTATACTGGACAGTCCGTAAGGAATAAACGTCCAGGGTTATAGCTAGCCATGGGTTGTGACCTAGCTTGGGTAAAGCCGGTAGTTAGCCTTTAGCGCGAAACAACTTGGAGCGTTTCAATAAAATAATAATGCTAAATAAATACGAAATCTATTTACTACAAAGTCTTAATGTTTTATAACTCTCTTTCGCCTATTATTGCGCGACAATTTTCTGCAATGCCCGTTCAAATATGCTCATCTCCAACAAACGCTGGCTGCCGCTTGCACACTGAAACATAAATATATAGCAGGTAGGAAAGCGTTCCTGGGCCAAAATTCGCCCTCTACGCTCGTTTATTTTCATACGATTCACACAAATAATTCAATCATTCTACTCCATCTTTGTTTCTATTTGAAGAACAGTGTTCACTTGGTATAAAAACATACTGTCTTTGTTCGTGCCCGAGCTGTGTCATGCAAAATCACAACAAAGTCTGACGAAATTCTTGCGTTCGCTCCTGTTGCGCAGTTTATGTAAATGGCTGGTCGGAATCAGGAAAATGGCTAACGGCGCTCTTCGTGACCGTCATTTTTTGCGCTGCACACGCCTTTTTCAGGGCTCCCACCTGGCGGCTTTGACGGGGCTCACACGGGAGTTGGAAAGCAGCGTGGTAGTTTCCCAAAATGCAGTGCGCCGCCTATACCTACCTGTACTTGCAGCACATTTACATAAACTGCGCAACAGAAGCGAACGCGAGAATTTAGTCAGGCTTTGTGTGGTTTCGCGTGACACAGCTTGGTTACGGAACACAGACAGTATGTTTTTTATAACAAGTGAACACTGTTCTTCAAATAGAAACAAAGATTGGAGTAGAATAGTTTGAATATTTGTGTTGTATTTGTGTGAATCCAAGCGAGCGTCGAGCGAATTTTTGGCAAGAACGCTTTCCTACCTGCTATATATTTATGTGTCGGTGTGCAGCAGCAGCCAGGCATTTGTTTGGAGATGAGCATTTGCAGGAAATCTCTTGGCCAATAATAGGCGAAAGAGGAGAGTATAGAAAACATTAAGACTGGTAAGTAATAGATTTCGTATTTATTTAGCATGTATATTTTATTGAAGTACCATCCAAGTGTATGTGATGATATATTGATAGTCATGGCGTTGTCGTGGCCATTTCTGGTCAAAGATAAGAGATGGATTGTCAGGACGGTAAGGATAGGATCAGGAAGTAAGGATAATATAGGAGGAAGTAAGACAGTCCAAAACAGAGAAAATTCAAACATTTGCTTGCTATTTTACGATGATATATTACGTGCAACTCGATACAAGATCTAGCATCTAAATTGCAGTTGGACTCCGACTCTCACACCTTAAACTTTACTTGTGTTTCCATACCTCTTCTTTTTTGGATGATATAGCTTTTGAACGTCACAACATGTTCATAGGCGTTGTACTCAGGCTGGTGGCGCAGGTGCCTGAAAGCGTGCAAACACTTGGCCCTGGCCTGTGAGGAATGGTTTGTTCTGCTGGATAAGAAATGCCTACCTGTTGGCGCAGGAGTTAAGATAATATAGGGCAGGCCCTTCTCATTTGTTAAGGGAGCGCGATCGCGCTCTCCACGCGACGCCTCTATCCGCGCACCATAAATTGTGGCCAATGTGCGCGCATGCATTCCGCGCCTCATAAACAAGTGGTTTGAAATCGCGCACCAAAGTCTGTGTATTATGTTGAAATAGCGCTCCAATTTTACAGGGATGGAATCTCTGCGGATGCGGAAAATCCCGCTGGATTTTTCAGCAGTCCCAGGCGTCGATTTTGGTGAAACGTCTTGAAATCCGTTGAGAGAAAATTTTTAGGGGGGTTAGAATGTACAAAATTTTCATTTCACAGTCCAACAGCCTAACTAACAGTACCTTCATTTAATACCGATTGTAATATAGTTTTGCTTTAAATATAGACACGGCTTTAGTTCAACTGGTTGAGATTTTCAGACGTTGGCTCAGCTGTGTGCGTTTATTTGACCGGCGTGCAAGTGTGTGTGGCGGTATATATTAGTACGCGACTCGATGTCGTTGTACATCAAAAGCCCGCCGCAATCACGCGTGGCCTTGAGGCTAGTTTTTTTCCGCTGTCCTAGAGTTGCAATGGATACGGCGTAGCCTGACTGGAGTATCGCGGCGCCGCACGCCCGCAGCGTATATAACGTGTGCTGTGCGCGTGCTTGCGTGTGTGCCTGCGTGGGTGCGTGCGTGCGTGCGTGGTGCGTGCGTGCGTGCCTGTGGTGTTGCCGGTGGCCTGCGGGCGTGGGCTTGCCGTGTGTGCCTGCGCAGCGTGCATTCGTGTGCGCCAGTGTGCTGTGGCGGTTCGTCGCGTGCGTGTGTGCGGGGTGTTGTGCCTGCGGGCGTGCCCTACGTAGACCGCGTAGGACCACACTCATACGGACCGTAGGATTATAGAATACGGTAATCCTGGAATTCGCCTTTCCCCCACAAAATAACCTAACTGAAATTCACACGTCATATTTTTCCCTTGCGGCACACACTCGTGTGTCCATTCCCTGATTGTAGCTTTTTTGTCAATTCCCCCGAAAGAGTTTTGGCTGTCGCTCTCTCTAGTCCAGCAATGCCAACGCTTCTACATTTTAAGCTAGTGATTAGTACCGAACGGCTCCCCCCCGCCGTATTCAATCAATGCCGCGCCTGTCCAGCAGGCACGTAACGCAGCGTGCGATGTGATACAGCCATAGCACCCGTGCGCTCACGGAGCGCGCTTTCTCGAAACCCCCTGAGCTTCGCAGGGCCCCTTAATGCGGCCCTCCTTTTACGCGGGCCTTACGCTGGGCCCTGGACCCCAGCCCGCAAAGAGACTCTCGCATATATAAATCACATTCGATCTTCCTCGCGCTTGGTACTACTACTAGCAGACACTCCACTATTCTGCGCTAGCCGTAATAGTTCTGTGTTGTAGCTGAACCTGTGATGTATTTACTATTCAAGGTGCATTTGTGGTTGTTGACTTGTGAGTTGTGATTTATCAATGTTATCTGTCAGTCTGATGAATAACTGTCTTGAATATTGACTGAATGTTCCTTTTGTTTTTGTCTGTACAAGCTTAGCTAAAATTGGTGGGTGTGTGTGTGTGTCTGTGTGTCTGTCTGTGTGCAAGGGTGCGTGCCGTGGCGTTGCGGCGTGCGTGCGTAGGTCGCGTGCGTGCTGTGCGTTGTGACGTGTGTGCGCGGCCCGCTGGCCTGCGCGAGTTGTGTATTAGTTACTGTGGCTTGTGTGTACATTTGAGGAAACAGCCCTGCGGAAAAATAGTCGCCGACTGGGAAAGTGGCAAAAAAGCCCTTTGGAAAATGAAAAAGTCAGCCCCGCCGAAATTCTTCGGGGGGTTTGCAAAAAGAGGCCACGGAAAGAAAAAAATAATTTTTTCAACTGATTCATAGCCCAACTCCTTTTTCAGTAGCCAATCGAGAATGCAGGCTTTTCATCACACCCTTCGTCGTATCTTAAAAGCAATGGCAGACGCTTTTTAAGGTGTGTCGATTTTCTAGTGAGCTCTCCATCCATGCCTCCTTAAGGGTGTGATTTTTTTGAAGTGGAAGTCTCTCCATCATGCCGGTCTTAAGAGGTGTGATTATGGGCAGCGTGAAAAAGTCCGCCTGTGGTGTTCTAGGGGTCGTCATTAGTAGTCCTCCCGACCTGTACTTTTCAATGCTGAAAGCGCTGGGATTATAGGACTCTATATTTATATCATACACACTATATATATTATCAGCACTATATATATATACACACTATATATATACACACATATACTATATTATCCTATATTATATAATATCTAGATCTATATATATATCTAGCTCGAGCCTTGTAAATATTCTTCCTAATGTCTGTGTTGTTGGTACAGGTCAGATCCTTAGCAATGGACTGTTCCACTTGACTATCAAGATTAATATCAAACTTTCATGAAATGGGTGTGATGTTGTGGTCGAAGCTGTAACTGTAAAGCAGTGGAAGATTGCTAATTCAGTCTGTAAAATGCAAGTAGTAGTAGCTTGGTCAGGCCACTAACCACAAATCTTTCCACCTCAAATTATGAGTGTAATCCTTTTAAACACGATGCAACACAGTCTTTATTTTAAGCTCCTTAGTTTACCTAGTGAGTCATTTTAATTTGTCATTTTCAGCTCGCCATAGATTTACTACACCCCTCTGCGGAGGAGGAGAAGAGGAAGTGTAAGCTGAAAAGGCTAGTCCAAAGCCCAAATTCATATTTTATGGATGTCAAATGCCCAGGTAAGAGATTATTTCTGTCTAATAAATAATGATAACTCGCCATAGCTCATCCACATGGGCATCAAATAGCAGTGTTTATTCCTGAGTAGATGGCAAATGTTTACATTTGTCACTATGTAATATGCGATCATGTGTGTCATGAATCGACCAATTCCCATCTAATACTAAAATTTTGTTTGTTCTAGTGGTTCTTGTGGTTCCTTCTAGTTTGGTAGCTTTGTGTGGCTGAATTATGTGATGTAAACTTGATGAAATTATATATTATAAAAATTAGGTGATTTCCTAGTTTTTGAGGTGTGAATTAGATAAAAGTGGCGTGGTGGGACCGCCCCGGCTAACTCGGTATTAAGAAAACTATGCTCATTGTCCATGGGAATATTAAACATGTTGGATGTGTGCATAGTGTTTACATTCGATAATGAAACTGGACATACATTCATTACAGGGTGTTACAAGATCACAACTGTGTTTAGCCATGCACAGACAGTCGTGCTGTGTGTTGGATGCTCTACAGTACTATGCCAGCCTACTGGAGGAAAGTGTCGGCTCACAGAGGGTAAGATATCCTTCAGGGCTTGAAACTAACCTAAAATGTTCACTAGCCAGCAGGGCTAGTGACCTGTAAAATCTACTAGCCCTTAAAAATATCTACCAGCCCTTACTTTTCTGAAGTGCGGCGCTGAAGCTACGCGGTGAGCACAGTTTTGCGTTTGGGTGGGTGAGGTGGGTGGATCTGGGTTTTGATTTTAGATGCTCTGAGATGCATTCTGCAAAATTCATTGACTTTGTGAAAATCTAGATTCAGTATATACATCAGTAACTATGTTATAAAGCAGAATAATTAATATTCAATTAGAGTAAGCGATTAGAACTATTAGTCAGTTTTACTGAAAATGTGAAAGTTCATGTTTAAAGGGATCGTTTACTCTAAGTTCTAGGGTTATTTCCAGTTAATTTGGTTAAAATTAATGCTACATAAAAAGTTTCATGGTTTCAATTCACCATTAGAAATATTATTAAAAAATGGTTTTAAAACTAAACATGCTACAGTTTGATTACAACGATTGGTGGCAGTCCCCCGCAAGCGCACGCATGCTGATGAGTTGCGCAAAAGCGACTTTCAGCCCAAGTTCTACAGTAACAGTACCGAGGGTGTTTCTTATTTATTAATTTAAAAGCAAAAAGATTGTAATATCTATAAAAGACTATATAGTTTTCACTCG